AAGATTTAGGTAAGAAGTTAGGAAAACATTCTCCAATATGGGGGTGACAGACCTCTGGAATAGGTTGCCCAGAGAGGTGGTGGAGGCCCCATCCCTGGAGACATTCAAGATCAGGCTGGATGAGGCTCTGAGTAGCTTGATCTAGTTGGTGATGTCCCTGCTTATGGCAGGGGGGGGGGGTGGAGATGTCCCTGCTTATGGCAGGGGGGTTGGACTAGATGACCTTTGGAGGTCCCTTCCAGCCCAGACATTCAATGATTCTATGAGGCTGAAGGTCAGTAGCACTTTAGCAGGCATAATTAATTACAGGGCACTCACACGTGCAGGCTGTCTCTATAGAGTAAGACAGAGAGAGGAATTCTCACTGAAACAGAGAGGCACAGTGCACATCCCCTGTATGCTAGGGATCTATACGTCAAAATGCTCTTTTGAAAGAGCACAGTTCTTAATTAAACCAGGCTGTAACTAGATTAAAAACATTAAGAATACTAATCCTGACACTGGCTTTCTGCCCAAGAGTCTTGTTTGTATAAATTTGTTACAGAAGTTAAACCAGAAGGATTTCATTTACTAGCTGAAAGTTTAGTTTAATTCCCAAACATTTAGTTTTATATGCAGAGTATCAATGTCTCTGTGACTGGAAGTCTGCATAAGAAATCAAACATATTGGTAGCAAAACATACAGCAAACCTGGCAATCTTTGCTGTCAAATGGACATCTTGGATCAATTCTGAACCTAACTTAATTTTGGGATGTGGTTGCATACCAGAAAAGAAGAAAATGAAAGAAATAAGGAATTAGATAAGCAGATTTGGGCAGAGTACAGCAAGGAGAAATAGGCTGAAAATGTTTTGATGGAAGCTCTTTTATTTTGGAGATATAACGAGGAATGGAGAAAGTACTTCAAAGGAAAATCTGCACAACACTGAAGAATAATAGTGAAGAAAATACCAGTCTGAAATGCAACCAAACAAAACCAAAGTCAGAAAGTCTTGGGTACAGGGCCAACATGTAAACAATACCAAAACAACAAAGACCACAGAGAAGTCACACTAACAAAGAGACAGTGGAAAGAAAAATCATCTATTCTAAAGGGAAAGCAAAGGAGGTTACCTTTTGATCATGTTTTAAGTATGCCAGATGGAAGGATAAAGCTTCTTCCTGTTAGATCTGTATTTGCGGTTTAAGTCCTGGCCTGTTAAAGAGCAGCGGTGATTTCCCACAATCACACCGTCTGGATTCAACATGGGCACCACTGTGAAGACAAAACTGTCCCGCAGAAGTTGAGCTTCGCCTGAATCGCCAAGAATGTAATCCAGAAAGCCCTTCATTATCCAGGAACTGTTAGTTTCTCCTGGGTGCACCCTCGCAGTCAGGATTACAGCCTTCCTCTTGGTGCATTTGCCACTTTTGGGGGGGTTGGTGATAGTTAGAACATACACTACGTTTCCTGCCAGTGAATGGCACAAGGTGTGAATCTTGCAGAATCTGGACTTCACTGGATCTTTAGAGACGGCCACCAGGTACTCCTGCAGGTTAGAGTATGTGTAAGGATAGCAGTGGGCAAAGTAGCAGGTGTCTTGGTCATGAGGGAACTGGAATGTCCGAGTGAGTGAGAAATACTGACGCCCACCTTGACCTGCGTTGTTCTTGTAATACCTGATTTCATTTCCAGTCCTCCGCCAGCCAACCTGGTATTCCTTAGCATCGGCTTCGGAGTACAGCAGTGGCCTCAGGCCACACTCATACAGGCTGTTCCGCTGGGTGAAGTTGGCGACAGTGAAGCGATACGGCGTCCCTGCCTGCGTGTTGCTCACCTGGAAGTAGTACCACTGCGTGTGTCTGCTCGTGGAGAGGTCGGCACGCAGGGTCAGCTGATACTCAAAGTCACTGCTGGTAGGCAGAAAGAAGAGAGTCAGCTGTCATGCTGGTTAGCACTGCAGAACGATGCAGTGTCAAATAATGTGGACTGCCATGAAAAAGCACACCAGAGTGAATGGGCAGCAAAGCCCCTTTGCACTGTCATGAATCAAAGATGATGCAGCTGCCAGGAGAAGATGCCTAACCACACCGAGTGTGTCAATAATGCAACTGCTGGCTTCATTAGGGCTTTTAATAATAACTGGGACTTCTAAAAATGTTCTCCATACTGGACTTTAAAAGGAGGTGCTTAAGGAAAGGTGTTGAGTTTGTGTCGGTGATTATCACCTATAAAAAACATCCAGTGCTATGAAATGGTTATCAGATCATTTCTTGTGAAGTCAACTGATACTACTCTTGAAGCTTATTCAACTAATGTAAAACAAGTTACAAAGCCCAAGTAAAACATCCCTCTCAGAAACTGATAGTAGGCTCCCAATAATAACAACCCTGATAATAACTCCACCTTAATAAAAGAAGAAAAGATTAGAAGCTTACACTTTGACCACCTTCTGTAAATTCCCACTCTCAAATCGTGCTTCGAAGATCAGCGTGGTGTCCTCTTTCGGATAGACGACCTGCTTCAGGGGGCAGCGACCTCTCACTTGGGAATACATAAAGGAGTTTTTGTTAGCTAAAGGAAGGAGCAGAACAGATGTTTTCCATTTCAGCCTGAGCCACTTTAGGTATTGGAATACCTGCATCCTTCTGAAAATTCCTTCTACAAACAGACAACTACATGGACGTGACCTTCAAAGCACATCTTAGGTCAGTGTAAAAGAAATGACATGAAGATTTTATTGCTCATTCCCACTTAACCATATGGATTTCAGTCAGCCTAAGATCTCGCTCTCTTTTTGAAGCGTCTGTGTCTCTCTGCATGAGCAAAAGGCAATTCATACTCTGCATTTAGGCAAAGCAGCTGAATAAGGTGGAAAGACTCTAGGACTCAGCTCCCGCAGGTCTTTCCACCAGTCACATGGGTAACTCCTCTGCTCAGAAATCATATGTAGCCAGCAACTGTTGCCACTGCGGTTTGTGGGTTTTTTTTTTTTGGTTGCTTGGTTGGTTTTTTGGTTTGTTTTTTTTTAACATCTGTATTAAATTATTCTAGTTTAGAAGTACAAGAGATGACACACAGGCCCAGCAGCCATCACTTTTATATTGTTTTATATATGTTTTCACATCACTTCTAGCATGCACTTTGAGCTCGGACCTTCTTTTGCTCTGTTCTGCTGTCTTGTTCACTTGATTTCAGTAAGGCGTTTGACAC